ATTTATATGGGTTTATAATGACATTAAATAAAATTCCAAAAAATAAAATAAATTTTATTTAAAAAATCTAAATAATACAGATTTTTATCATTTTCAATTTTTATTATTTCTTTGAAAAAAAATATTAAAAATTTAAAATGGTATAAAATCGGTATAATTTGGATTTTTTGATTTTAAATTTGTCGATAAATTATGGTAAATAATAAATTGCACCAATTAAATTTATATTATATTTATTAATAATTGGGGGCGCCATCTTTTTTTCGCAAACTTAAATTTCATATAAATTTGGTGTGGGTCCCATATACATATAATAATTGAGATATCGTTATAACGATATATATATACCCAAAATCCATCAGCCGCCACTGGTGACTAATTGTCATATTGAAAAAGCAGCCACTAATAATTATCGTCAACAGCAGTTGGTATTTCGGACATTTAGCAGCCAATTCCTTTGTAAAATTGTCAGCTAAATTCTAAAATGTCGTCAAAAGATATAAAACTAGAACAGTTTTTAAGTTATACTCAATTTTCCAGATAATTGAATCGAATATATTAATAGATTTATAAAAAAAACTGCTGTACGTTCATAATTTTTTTATGGTATTTTGGGATTCAGGGGACAACAGAAATACTACTGTTTATGTTGTGATGTCAAAGCCTTTGACTCAAAGGATAATAATCGATAATAATCTTCACTTTTTGAGGCTATTGGTAGAATAGGTGTGGACATATAGAATAGGTATTTGTATGGACATATCTACATTGTAGATTCTACAACGCCACAAAATATATATTTTATATGTTGTAGGTATCAAATCCTTCAATAATCTATCTCTTCGAGTTACTGCAAGAATAACCCAGATAGCACAAAGAAGTACTGGAAACGTCCTGAGTATATCTTGTATCAGACATTAGTAAGTCCCGAGTACGTCCGAATCAGGTCCTGAACCTTCCGCAGGACGTACCAGGGACATCTGATGTTACCAAATCGTCGGTCCCCAGAACGTCCTAAGTAAGACATCCTCTAGCCGTCCTGAAATACTTTATTGGGGACTCCCAGCAAACAGAAAAGCGTGATAAACACGTGACATTTTACGTCCATTTTAGACGTCTTTAAGGTACAAAATTGACATGTCTTGGTTCTCAAAAATAATGCTGTTTAATGTTAAATTTTATTAAAAGCTTTTGCTAAAAGTAAGTAGTGGGGCCCACTCACAGAGCATAAGGGCCCACTGCTTACTATTCGCAGAGTGGGCCACAAGACCAGCTGTGTCCCTTCAAAACTTACAAGCAGAAGCGGTATGGTCAGTAATTAGGCCAGAAGGTAAGAAATTCTTACTTAGAAGCTTAAGGCATTCCACCTTTATAGGACTATCTATCGTGCTACAGAGGCGAGAGGTATGCATGGGTTGCCTACATATAGGTACGGAACGCAGTCTTTTGAAAATTTGGCATTTAAGGCTTTTCAGGTTATGTATCTGTCAAAGTATAGTCAATGAAAGAAATAATATTTATAGTGCTACCGCTTATGTTTAAGCGTTAAAAGTTAATATATCTTTATAGTATCACAATAACAATAGTTGGTTTAAGAATATAGGAATATAAATACTGCATTTAATGAAATTCTAAAGTGTATGGTGCCAAATAAGTGATATTTTTGTGCATTGGGTCTACATTTCTCCATAAAATAGTTTTAACTACAACACATTTATTTAAAAAAAATCTAACTTCTCTATTATGAAATAAGAATATCTGTATCAAAGGTAGGTTAATGTATTAGAACAAAAAATATCATCTGATTTTGTATTTTAAGGTTAGAAAAATCTATTTTGACCAAAATAAATAAGTGGATTATTTGGAAGAGTGTGTTAATATGGTCATTAATAAATATAGGTATACTATATAATTGTAGAATATGGTTCAAATTAAATTGAAGCTTTTATACAGTATAAATTATACTTCTAATGACAAAACTTGTTCATACCTCTCGGTATACCTACCTAAGTAAAATTATAAGAAAACAAACAATTTTTAGAGAAACTTGCAATGTGAAAATATGTAATACTTCCATGACATGTGATTTATTAAAATTTTTTCGATGTAGATCAAATTCAGTCGAAGCTTTATAACTATATTGACAAAACTTTATGTAGGTACCTACACTTTAAGCTGGATTAGAAAAACTACCACATTTTTAAATACCATATTATGCAGTCTTTCAAATAATCCAAAATACTTATTTATTTTGGTAAAAATAAATTTTTCTAACCTTAAAATTACAAAATTAGATGATATTTTTGTTATAAAATAATAACCTACCTTTAATACAGATATACTTATTCCATAATAGAGAAGCTAGATTTTTTTTCAATAATGCTGTTTATTTAAAATTATTTTATGGAGAAAACCCGATATTTGCAACAAATGCACAAAAATATTACTTATTTGGCACCATAGGTGCACTTTAGAATTTCATTAAATGCAGTATTTCTATTCCTAAATTCTTATACCAACCATGGTATTGTAATGTCATTGAGTAAAGGTAATGTTATATAGATTTATACATTTTTAACGCCTAAACATAATATTATTTCTTTCGTTGACTATACTTTGACAGATACATAACCTGAAAAGCCTTAAATGCCAAAAACAAAAATTACGTCCTTGGGACGTACCGAGTATATCCGCTTTAATTTTCCTAAATAAGTAAGAGACTGGACGTACCCAAAACTTCCGATATAGGTCTGGGACGTTCGGACCAATGTGGGACCCGAAATGGACGTCCTGGGTACCTCTTGTGCTATCTGGGAAGATAACTTAATTTTTAATTTTTTGACTTAAGTACAATGGCCGACACGGAATTTTGAACGACTATCATCCTGTTGACATCAAAATCTAAACTTTCTTTATGGACAACTAACCTTACTTTCGGTTATCACTAGTATTGTAATTTTGACAGCGAAAGCAAAAATGCTCAATATTGTATCTTTGCTATTTACAGATGTATACATTGACAACCAAGTTATGTCGTTCAAAATTCCGTGTCGGCCACTGTACATTTTTTAATTTATAATTGTGTCTGCAAGGACAAGACAACTTAACTACAAGCATAATCGAATCGGTTAATCAATGTCGAGCGCAACAAAAATGGTATGACTCCATTTTTAGTAAAAAGACCCAATAGAAATAAGTACCAAATTCAAATTACTCAAAACAGTGTTTTGGGAGTAATATGGTTTTTACATTGACCCAACGATCTATATACAGTATGTCTCAGTATCTTGGAATCATATGGAAAACTTTTTTATTATTAATTTTAGGGAAAAAAGTTATTCTTCATAAAAAGTTCTGCATGGTTTAAAACTTAAAATGCAACCCACAAATAGTAATTTTTTTAGTCGTATACGGGGTATGTCAAAAAATATGAATTTGGCTCAAGAGTAAAGTACCTTTATATTTGACAATATCGAAAATTGTTATAAAGAAAAGTTAATCAGAACTAAAAACTACGTTTAAATATGCAATTACATCCATTTACATTAAAAAAAAAATATTTTTTCTTTTTTGTCTACAATATCAATGCAAATTTAACTGTAACATGTAATTTAGGATTCACTGATAAACAAATGATTTGTTGATATTCTAATACTTTTTGGCCTGCTAGATCCCCTGACTTAACTTAAGGTTTCATGTTTTTTCTAATCATAACAGATAAATGTTCATTTTAAAATAGAAAGATTAGTAAAAATTGACAAAACCTAATTTTTTAATGTAAATGTATGAAATTGCATATTTAAACGTAGTTTTTAGTTCTGATTAACTTTTCTTTATAACAATTTTCGATATTGTCAAATATAAAGGTACTTTACTCTTGAGCCAAATTCATATTTTTTGACATACCCCGTATACGACTAAAAAAATTTAATATTTGTGGGTTGCATTTTAAGTTTTACACCATGCAGAACTTTTTATGAGGAATAACTTTTTTTCCTAAAATTAATAATAAAAAAGTTTTCCATATGATTCCAAGATACTGATCAGTCGAGACAGTATATACTGTATATATATTAAATATTTAATGTTAAAAATAAGGTTCAGTTAAAAAAACGAGCAATCTCAATCGTTTCGGGTGTAGCAAATCCCATATGGTACTAAGACAACTTAAAACTATTAAAAAAAAGTATTGACCAAACATAACCGAATGGACGATTTTTTGAGGTAGGTATACCCGGGTTTTTTTGAAAAAATAACCCCCTTACATTGAAAAGCTTTAACTTTTGAAAAAGATTACCGTAAGGTTTGGGATCGATTACTTTTAAAATTGGGCTACTTATAATAAAAAAAACAAAAAAGTGATTTTGAAAGAAACGCTCAACTTTGCACACTGCGCATAGCAAAAGGGCACATCATATAGGTGCGCAATGGGGTTGCCTTATTTAAATAAGGCAACCCCATTGCGCACCTATATGATGTGCCCTTTTGCTAATTAGTACATAATCAAAAGTATTCAAAAGTATTTGAGGTCAAATTATATAATTCATATGAAAAAATGCACGGTTAGCGAGTTATGAGCCAAAAAGCAAAAAAACTCCTCTTTCGGGGGATGAAATTAGGGGACATGGAAATACATTTTTGGGGAATATTTTTGATTCATTATCAGCACCCCTGACTCTACATAAAAAAAAAAAAAAACCCGACTACCATCGAGTTTTCCTTCTACAATCTTTGTTTCCTGGACTAATATTATAATATATTAATTCTTCAAATCCTAGAAAATAAAATAAAAATTCTGAGAATATGTTAAAATATTAAAAAATATTGGCAGACTATCAATATAATCCGATAAATATGTACTATAATAAAAAAAAATAATAAGAATACTTGTAACTTAAATTTAAAGTACGCGCTTTTTTGTAGCGCGTCCTCTACTGTTCAGAAGCCGAACTGATATTGATTAACGCTCTAGCGGCAAAACTCGTAAACTTACAGATGGTGGGACAGCGAAGGCGACCACCATTTTCACGCGTCATTGTAGATTTTTATTTTATAGCTAAAACAAAAAGTGAAATTGTGTTTGAAATAATTAAAATATGGACCGGGCCGATAAGCTACGCGGCATGAAGATATGCCGGTTTTGTCTGGCGGACGATTCATTGACAAACATTTACGAAAGGAACGCCAAAGACAAGCACTCTGTACCGCTGCCGTTGCAAATTATGGCGTGCATAGCAATCGAGGTTTGTAAATAAACTAAATTGAAACAATTTTCTGTAATCCATAGTATGTTTCTTGGTTTTAAAATAGTAACTACTTAGTATTTTCTTAGTAAGCAGTTTTCTGTTAGGTACTATTTTTTTTATTTTTAAAGTAGCTAGCCAAAACACATACACCTGGTAGCTAGCTGGCAATTTTAGAAACTCAATAAATTTAAGTAATTTAATTAATAATAAAGTCATTTACCCTAAATTTAAAAGGTGATTTTTATGTTTTAATTTAATTTTGCTAAAATCGTAGGCGCTAAAAAGTAGTCTTTCTCCCACAAGTTGAACAATATATTATTATTGTTGAGTAGAACCTTATTAAGGTTACTTTAATCAAAGCTATTTTACTATTTTATTAATACAGAAAAGAAAATGTATAAGCCTCACAAAAATCACAAACAAATCAAATGTAAAGAAACTAAATAAAAATATATTTTAGAAATTTAGAACTATTCTAATATTTACTAATTATAATAATTATTGAACAATTGGGTACATCTGTGCCCTTTTGGAACAGCCTGTTGCATCAAAAAGTCTCACTTTGACATTTTAATACAAATAATTAAGGTTATCTTCGTCAGTTTAACGCTAATTTCGTCTTATTTTATAAAAGTAATACAATATATAAAGGGGTAAGAAGCAAAAGGGTACCTACAAGTGCATTTTAGCATGAAAATAAGTTAAGTGCAGAATTGGGGAGAGTCCAGATTTTTTTAAAATTTTTCTCATAATGTGAAAATTGTTAAAGTTCTGCATGTTGATTAATGCAAACAACAATATTGAAAAAAGTATCAAGATTTTTGTATAAGGTAAGGTGGGGTAATTGTAAGATTGGGGTAAATGTAACATCTTGCGATAAAATTCTTACTTGAAGTAGTAAATAAAAGCAAACGAATAAAAACGCACGCTGTTGTCTTGGGTTGCATATCTAAGTAGAGAAATCCCTACAACTACTGCGCAGTACCACTTGGTTACTTAAGTACATAATAATAAATCTTTTTTTCCTTTTTGTATTAACCGCGAAGTCTGTTAATTCTTAAATTAAAAATAAAAAAAAATTTGCACACCTTATGATTATTAACGGATTCACACGATTTTACACCAAAATAATCCTATTTTTTTCCTCTTTTACATTAGCCCCATACCCACTACAAATACATTAATAGTGTAATGTAATTAGCCGCTAACACATTTGCCCCATTTTTCGGGGCAAATGCAATATGTTAGGAACGTTTAAAAAAAAGATGTAATTTTTTAGCCCTTAGTTCCTAACTTTTTATACTTTAGAATATAATTCTTGAGTAGTTGGGCTATATAATGAGCTTTGGGTTTGGTTTAGTTTTATCACTCCTTACTTTTAATTCAAGAGACAATGCCAACTAGTAAAAAAACACATCGCAATTACCCCACCTTACCTTATCGCAAAAACATTAAAAGTTAATAACTTCACTTCCCTTTTTTGCACTTTTACCCTTTTGCTTCTTACCCCTTCATATGTATTTTTTATGTATAAAGGTCCTAACTTACAACACAAAATATACATATGTACCTATATTGTATTATTGTGGCTTTACGGCGCTTTAGTCACGGGCTGAAGTTAGTTTTAAGTTAGTTGACAGTTGTCAAATGTCATACAATCGTTAAAATAAAGTGCCTTTCTTTTAAAATAATACTAAATGTGAAAATTATTTTATTATCTCAATACAAAAATACAAAAATATTAAATAGTTTCTCAACGCCAATATTTGAAAAGTTTATATGACCATTGTACTGGCCTTTTAATTTCGCCGTCAATAAACTATAACTTAAATTCGGGCACGGACTCTACTGTAAAGTCCTCATAAAACATTTCCTTTACTTTCACTGTAAAAAACTGTAAATTTTCAATATACATTTCGATTTATAACCTTTATAATTGTGTTTATAAAATGTAAAAATGTGACATTTGACTGTTTTCCCTGTTGTTTCATAGATGGCGCTCTATACAAATTTTTGATTTAAATCATTTTAAGATAATAATAAGTATTTGTCGTAGAAACTGTATAGTATGCACCTCGTTTATAAACTTTTCTATACACTCATTAACTTAAGCACTCGCTCGCAAGCTCGCTCGTGCCTAAATTAAATTCGTGTATAAAATGGCGTTTATCACTTGATACATACTATCGCTAACAAAAAAAACTCATACAGCTTAAAAATCTAGTGTTCCTGATTTTCTATCATTTCGTTGGAGTAATAGACCTATCCCATAAAACAGACTTTTGGATAGCGCGTGCCTGAAGAAGAGTGGTATCTCTTTCTCTTTTATATAATTAAAAAAAGACGACGTGCTTTTCACGCACGCACTATCCAAAAGTCCGTTTTATGAGATAGGTCTATTATGGCTTTTAACATGATACGTCACATTTGAAAGGTCTAAAATTAAATATAAAGTTAGGTTAAAGTTTGAAAAAAAATTATATTTCGTCATCCCTCTGTTTTTTGTCAATTACTGCCCGCAAACGGCAAAGCATGGAAGTCGCCGTCTTGCTTTATCTCGTTCCAAATGGCTTCAATGGCTTTCCAGAGTTCGTCTGCATTGTTTGGTTGAAAATGTTGTTAAAAAAGTCATAATGGATGTGACAAAGCTCGATGTCAGCTTGACATTGACGGAAAAGTTTTATTCACACTGCCACAATATAGCTGTATGAGTTTTTTTTGTTAGCGATAGTAATATACTATTAACTCATCCGTCAATACACATCTGTTTTTGACGTTATTTTAAGATAATTTATTTTCAAATCTTTTTATATTTTTTCAATAAGATAGTAGAACGGAAATATTACGTTTGTTATGTGAATAATGTTCTACGGTTATGTTTTTATTTAAGAATAACGAAAAAAAAAGAAAAGACAAAAAAAAATCAAACTAGAACTAAAAGGGCCTGTTTTTTTATAACTATACATTATAATGTACTATGCTCCATACCTCAAAGTCCCACCACGTGACCACGTAAGGAACGCAGTCTTTTGAAAATTTGTCATTTAAGGCTTTTCAGGTTACGTATCTGTCAAAGTATAGTCAATGAAAGAAATAATATTTATAGTGTTACCGCTTATGTTTAAGCGTTAAAAGTTAATAAATCTTTATAGTATCAACAATGGTTGGTTTAAGATTAAATTTACACTTTAGCGACTTTTCCGAAAAACGACATGGGGGTTGCCAAAATGCAACAAATAGGTGTGGAGGGATGTAAAAGTGCATAAACAATCGGCGCAAGGTGAAAAAGTTGTATAATTATCACGTAATTAATAAAAAAGGGGCTGATAATTGAAGTGACTTACAGCGATTTTCTGTGAAAAAGAGCATGTAGCGAGCCAAAACACATATATAATATACGTAGAATTTGAAAGTGAATTGAAAAAGCTTGAATTATGAAAAACAACGTCATAAATTGCGGAAAATGCAATTTTTAAAATCAGGTAATTTGAGGTTATGCAGGTTCACAATCCAGCTTGCCCATAGATATATTATACCTCTATTGCTCAATGGGGCGGGGGGGGGCCAATGGGGCGGGGTCGGTTGGGTTGGGTTGTTAAGTTTGGGTTGGTTTGGGTTGGTTTCGCTCACCTTTGCCCATTTTAGTGTACCTGCATAACCAAGATGACAGCTAATCTTCATAACCTCAAATTACCTGATTTTAAAAAATGCATTTTCCTCAATTCATGAAGTTGTTTTTCATAATTCACGCTTTTTCACTTCCACTTTCAAATTCTACGTCTATTAGATACGTGTTTTTGGCTCGCTGCATGTTCTTTTTCACAGAAAATCACGGTAAGTCACTTCAATTATCAGCCCCTTTTTTATTAAATACGCGATAATTATACAACTTTTTCACCCTGCGCCGATTGTTTATGCACTTTTACATCCCTCCACACCTATTTTTGGCATTTTGGCAACTTTCCTGCCGTTTTTCGGAAAAGTCGCTAAAGTGAAAATTTACCGGTTTAAGAATTTAGGAATATAAATACTGCATTTAATGAAATTACAAAGTGTAAGGTGCAATATAAGTGATATTTTTGTGCATTGGGTCTACATTTCTCCATAAAATAGTTTTAACTAAACAGCATTTATTAAAAAAATCTAACTTCTCTATTATGAAATAAGAATATCTGTATTAAAGGTAGGTTAATGTATTAGAACAAAAAATATCATCTAATTTTGTATTTTAAGGTTAGAAAAATCTATTTTGACCAAAATAAATAAGTGGATTATTTGAAAGAGTGTGGTAATATGGTCATAAATAAATATAGGTATACTAAATAATTGTTGAATATAGTTCAAATTAAATTGAAGCTTTTATACTTCTAACGACAAAACTTGTGCATACCTCTCAGCATACTTACTTTAAGTTAGATTATAAGAAAACAAACAATTTTTAGAGAAACTTGCAATGTGAAAATATTTAATACTCCCATGACATGTGATTTATTAAAATTTTTAAAGTTAAAATAATTTTTTGATGTAGATCAAATTCAGTCGAAGCTTTTTAACTATTTGTATTGACAAAACTTTATGTAGGTACACTTTAAGCTGGTTACGAAAAACTACCACATTTTTAAATACCATATTATACAGTCTTTTAAATAATCCAAAATACTTATTTATTTTGGTCAAAATAAACCCAACCCAACCTTAAAGTAACAAAATTTGATGATATTTTTGTTATAATATATTAACCGACCTTTAATACAGACATCCTTATTCCATAATAGAGAAGCTAGATTTTTTTAAATAAATGCTGTATTTATGGAGAAAACCAGATATTTGGACCAAATGCACAAAAATATTACTTATTTGGCACCATACACTTTAGAATTTCATTAAATGCAGTATTTATATTCTTAAATTCTTAAACCATCCATTGTTATTCTAATGTAATAAAGTTTTATACATTTTTAACGCCCAAACATAATATTATTTCTTTCGTTGACTATACTTTGACAGATACATAACCTGAAAAGCCTTAAATGCCGAATTTTCAAAAGACTGCGATCCGTACGTGGTCACGTGGTGGGACTTTGAGGTGTGGAGCATAGTACATTAAGGCTAGTATATTCTTTTTATATGGTATATTTACCTACCTTTAAATTTATTAGACAGCTAACTGTTAAAGTTACAATTGTTGAAATAATTGTAACTATGACAATTAAGCATTAGGTAAATTTAGTAAAGTGAATATACTGACACTTAATTTATATTTGTCGTCAAATCAATCCGTTAAACGTCATTAAAAAACGGATGCATGAAAATTAGAACATTTCTTATCGGACGATTTTATTGAATAACGGACAAAAGGATAACGGACAAACCGATACATGAAAATTAAGCTTAAGTCGCTGGATATGCGTTGTATATTTTGTTTCCACAACAACTGTTTTAAGATGTTTCTTAAATCTGCTTAAAACAGTTGTTATGCCAAGTTTTTTTTTTAATTTAAGAAAGTTTTACGCAAGTAACTGTTTTTGTCACTCTTAAATTATTTGTATTCAGTTTGCCTACATTTTATGATTTATTAGCACAGAATGTTTTTTGTTTATTTAATAAACTTACATATTTATTTTTATTATGTTGTTTTATAATACATTTCAACAATAAGTATAACATTTATTTAATATGCACTATAAATAACTGCAATAATAGTTTTAAATATTGGGTTAGTGTATTTACAAACTGCAAATAAAACTACTACTGCCAAACTACCGGTAGGGAAGGTTATTTTTAGTAAAAAAATATTTTTTTTTCTTATGGGACTTTTTATGTTTAATTTGATTTTAAATTTTGACAATTATTTTTAAATTATTGAAACAATCTGTCGTAAAAAAATATGTTTTTTGGAAGTTCAGCCATTCCACGTTACTCGGGAAATTTTGTAGCGTCCGTTACAATAAAAAATTGTGAGTAAAACTACCGTAATCATGATGCTTATAAGCATAATTATTACAAGCATAATAAACCTGTTGCAATAGTAACTATTGTAATAGTATTTAATTTAATTACGGTAGCTTTTACTCACAATTTTTTGTAACAAACATTCCCTAGAAACGTGGAATGGCTGAGTACCTCCTACAGCATAGTGACTCCATTTCCATGACACTATAAATTTTATATAAAACATTGCATTTTGTAATATGTTTTAATTAATTATTGATTATAGGTTTTTGCTAATGATGGAATGCCACAACTTATCTGCAATGTATGTCGCAACCTTACAATGCAAGCATACACATTTAAAACAAATGCTAAAAAGGCAGACGATGCTCTTAAATTGTTTTTGGCCACTGGACAGTTAAACAAACCTCAAATGAAAAATGTACCTTTACCAGCTGATAAAAAAGTAGGTTGTTATGTTTTTAATAATTATTGTTTCTTTTAGTTGTGATTATCTTGATTTAAATGTATTATAATATGTACTTTTCTCTTAGGTAACAAACCCGGAAAAAAATTTTGGAAAAATATTTAAACAAGCCGAAATTGCAAAGCCGCAACAGCAGCAACATCAACAGCAACAACAACAAGCCCAACAATTAACCAGGGTTGTAAAAGTAGAACAAAGTGAAGTAGTCACCTTAAATTTTGATCAAAATTCAGGTGAACAAATAATCACGGATGATACAGTTGAGGACGAGATTATTGGTATGGACATGGATGAAGATGAAAACTCGCAAGATGAATCCTATGAAGATGAAGATTCTTCAAGGGGAAAATCCAAACTGGTTAAGACTGATATTTATCCGTGTCCGCATTGTGAAAGGTACGTTATTAGAAATAATATAATATAACTGGCAAATTTTGTAGTGTGTATGTTTTAAATATTTTAGGTCTTTTCCCTTGCAACAGCTACTTGATTTGCACGTAGTAAATCACGACCGTCAAAGACTGCATCAATGCGATTTGTGCGAAAGACGATTTTTCACGAAATACGACTTGAACAAACACGCACAAACGCATTTGGGCGACAAACCCTACGAATGCGCCGTGTGCATGAAAACCTTCAGTCGCGAACCGCTTCTAAGACGACACGAGAAAATACATGCCAGCGCGGCCAAATACATTTGCACCGAATGCGACAAGACGTTTATAACTCAAAACAGTCTGACCATGCACATGGAAAAGCACAACAAAAAACGTCCGTTCGTCTGCAACAAGTGCGACAAGAGTTTTGTTTTCAAGCAGGTAAATACCATTTTTATATTTTTACTTTGAAATATTCAAAACCATACTTTTGGCTTAAATCTTGAAAACTCCTAAAATTGTCATCAATCTCCTAAAACTTAAATATAAATAAACCTGACTGCGTTTAATTAAGGAAGTTGTGATAAAAAATTTCTTTTATGAAACATAATTTATATAATATACATTTTTGGGTTCTAGTTTATTAATTTTTTTTTTAAATGTCATATCACAACCTACAGTAGAAACCACCAATATATGAACGTGACTCATCGGGTGCCCAACATATCTCAGACATGCTAGCAGTAATGTTTTACTTGTCTTGTACATTCGATGCAGCGGTAAATGTACTCACACGTAGGTTTTTAAGCATCCGGTCTAAAATGCGCCATCTGTGATGTAAAACTGCCTAGGTGTTCGACAAAGATGGACATATGACGCGTGTCCTAGCTTGTTACTTAATTTTGTTGGAATTCAGTAGAGCTCGTGTTTTAGGCAATTTATTTTATTTTATTACATAGTAAGGCAACCAACTCTACCGTCGGCCATTTGTTTTTATATGTCATATGATCTTTGTTTTTGCATATCGTGTTTCTGCTGTGTGTTTACGGATTAATAATCGTTTTAAACGTTGTAGTGGCAGTGGTTTATATTATGTAACACAGGTAGATGTCCTATAAAAAGCCTTACCTAGAAATTCTAGGCTAGAATACAAAAATATTTTTATTATATAAATTTTGTACTAGTATTAGTTTAATACATTTTGAAGAAGCTACTGTCTACCGAAACAATTGTCAATATTTAATAAATTTCGTGAAACTAACGCAAGTTGTTTTTATATCCACACAATTTAAATATCTTTCACTTTGTACCTGACCTGCGTAAACATTTTTGTTTTTTTGTCACCAATTCTGAAATATTTGCGTTTACAGTTAAAAGAATAGTATATTCTTTAACAAGTTTGGAATATGCAATTCCAAACGTGTTTCAGACTATACTTTTTCTACGTTTCCAAAAAATACCATAGACAAAGAATTTAATTGGAAGAAAGTGAGGTTGGATCGGTCTAAAAATTTGTTAGATATTAAAAACAGAGATGTCGCCATAAGTGAACATTCTGTCATCAGATCAGATCAGATGACTTTATTTATTAATTAGTTTCTAAGAAAATTACATTTTATTTAATTATCGTAGATGTTCAATTAAAATTTAACTTTAAAAGCAAATATATCAGAAGTATAGCAACCAACATTACACTCAAGATTTTTTACAAATACCCGTTATACAGCACTGCACTGGAGCGTGACCTTCGATAGATTACTTCGTACGATTGTGCCTGATGAGTCACGTTCATATATTCGTGGTTTCTACTGTACATTTTTTAAAAAAAACAACAAAATATACCTAAACACAAAATTCATGTAGTAGCTCCTTCGTTTCTTTTCGAGAAAAAATACCGTGTTATGTATCAAACAAAAGAATTTTTAATTTTCTTTTAAATAATATCTAAAATAGTAAACAATCCTGAAATATATAAAAGTAGTCATTTTACCTCACTTAAATTTTATTTAAAAAAACTCGTCGAGCGATTTGGCTAAAAAACTAGTCAGTGTAACTTATTTGTACAAAAAACTGATATTTATTTATAATTTTGTTAAAAAAATTATTTATTTTTTTCTTATTTTTTAAGTACAGTGTAGAGTTGTTTTTATTTAATTACATAAATTCATTTGCATACTTTATTTCTCCTAAAATTCTCCAAAAAAACTAAATTCATAAATAAAATTTGTAATTTAGCTGCGGGAGCCCTGTATTTGTAAGGGCAATGCGAGATAAGAAAAAAAGGGGAGGTTTGCATTAACAAAGAGTGTTTTTTATTAAAGTTTAAAAATAACATAACAGTTTATTAATTATTGTCATACTCAGCAAGTATGATGTCACTTTATGGTACGTTTTTAGATTTAAATAAATATTTCCAAATGTGAAATATTAAAACTCTCTAAAATTGGATATGCAACTCATTATACATTAAAAATATTAACGGCGCTATGGGTTGTATTAAAATTTTTTTAATTTAAAAAACATCACTGGAAATTTGGGGAAATTGTACGGTAATTCTTCTCATTATTTCATTATTTGGTCCTTCATTATTTTGTCTTTTCGTAGTTATATTCTGTCATTTTTATCCTTTTATTATTTAATTCTGCCCTTTTATCCTTTCATTATATTATTGTGGCAATGCGAGATAAGTAAAAAGGGGAGTTTTGCATTAACAAAAAGGGATTTTTTTTAATTAAACGTTAAAAATAACATAATTACAATAACAGTTTATTAATTATTGTAAAGTAAAGTAAAAATGGGTAGGTTTGCATTAACAAAAAGTAACTTTTTTTAAATTAAACGCTGAAAATAACCTAATTACAATAACAGTTTATTAATTATTGTCAAACTCACTCCGTAATAATTATTTGAAAATATCTGCTTTAATGGTCAAACAAGTATGACGTCCCTTTATGGTACGATTTCAAATTTATATAAATATTTCCAGATGTAAAATATTAAAACTCTTTATGAAAATTGCATATGCAACCTATTATACATTAAAAATATTAACGGCACTATGAGTTGTATTAAATAAGTTCACTGGAAATTTGGGAAAGTGTATGGTAATTGACATTTTATCGTATTAGTCAGTAGACACCTTTTTATTCTTCTCAATGTTTCATATTTCATTATTTGGTCCTTCATTATTTTGTCTTTTCGTTGTTTCATTTTGTCCTTTTTATTCTTTTATTATTTCATTCTGCCCTTTTATCCTTTCATTATATTATTGTGGCAATGCGAGATAAGTAAAATAGGGGAGGTTTGCATTAACAAAAAGTGATTTTTTTAATTTAAACGTTAAAAATTACATAATTACAATAACAGTTTATTAATTATTGTCAAACTCACTCCGTAATAATTATTTGAAAATATCTGCTTTAATGGTCAAAGAAGTATGACGTCCCTTTATGGTACGTTTTCACCCATAATATAACTAGTGGTATGATTATCATCGATGATATTTTCGAATTGAAACCGAGCTGCAGATTTCACGAGTCCGCAGGACGAGTGAAATGTGCTGCTTCGGTTTTAATGAGTAAATATCATCGATAATTAATCATACCACGAGTTATATTTAGTGAGAAAATATAATGAATTTTAGGATTTAACGAATTTTTAGTTTGACATTTGAAATTAAAATGTGCTTTAAAATATAAAAAGACTTTAATAAACCTTATTTATTCAAACTTACCTTAATTTTATTATCGTTTACACCAACCCATCGATCTTTTAGAGTTTATAATTCATTATTTTAATCATTTAGGTAACAAATACAGTATTTAAATGACAACAAATGTTAAATCAAAAAAACGTCAAAGTTCATAGTAACGTGTAAACAAGATGATAAAAATTATTGCCGCTGTGATAAAATACGTCACTATGGAATACTGGCATTTTATTGGTTCTAATATTAATGAATTATATTGTCAGATTTATATAAATATTTCCAGATGTAAAATATTAAAACTCTTTAGGAAAATTGCTTATGCAACCCATTATACATTAAAAATAATAAAGGCACTATCACAATCAACACAACAAGGTCTGTTCGATCTCGTAGTAAAAATACTAAAAATCACTGCAACACTGCACATCATACGATGGCGGCCATTTTTGTTGTTTACAATTTTTGTGCTTTGGGTTTGTACAGATTAATAATCGTTTTAAACGTTGTGTTTCTTACAGAGAGAGAAGGTTTATTTTTTACAAAAGAGCAGTAAAATGATTGTTCTTACCACTTTGAGGTCTCTTTTAAGGTTGCAAGTCTCTCTGTAAGAAACACAACGTTTAAAACGATTATTAATCTGTACAAACCCAAAGCACAAGAATTGTAAACAACAAAAATGGCCGCCATCGTATGATGTGCAGTGTTGCAGTGATTTTTAGTATTTTTACTACAAGATCGAACAGACCTTGTTGTGGGCACTATGAGTTGTATTAAAAAAATTCACTGGAAATTTGGGGATTTTGTACGGTATTTGACATTATTGACATTATACATCTCAGTATTTCAATATTTGGTCCTCATTATTTTGTCTTTTCATTGTTTCATTCTGTCCTTTTTTATCCTTTCATTATTTTATTCTGTCCTTTTATCCTTTCTTTATATTATTGTCCTTTTATCTTTTTATTATATCAATCCTATTGAAATGAGACGTTAATTTTTTCAAGGGTTTGGAACGTCACGAGCTTATCCATAACGAAAACAAACCGCACAAGTGCAACTACTGTGAGGCTAGTTTTAATTCGGCCATAAAACTGACGCGTCACATCACCACTCACGCGGGTCTTCGCCCTTATCCGTGCAAATTGTGCGGCAGGACGTTCTTGCTGAGCCACCATTTGACGAGGCACATGCGCAGTCACTATGCCGCCATGTCATCTACGCCGGAAAAGTCGATCGGCGAGCACAAGTGCGATATTTGCAGCATGTCGTTCAGGAGAAAGGATTTCTTGATCAATCACAGCGCCATCCACTCGATGGTAAACCTGAGGTGCGTGATTTGCAATACTTCGTTCGAAAACGCAAAGTTGGTAAAGGAGCACATTACGACGCATCTGTCCGATTTGCCGTATCCTTGCGATAAGTGCGACTACTCGTTCAGCAGCCAGGAGCAGCTGGAAGAGCACGAGTTGAAGCACGCGGAAATGGAATACGAAGAACAAATCGAGAAGGAAGTTATTGCGGAGGCGAAAAAGGGGGATGACGATGATGATGATGATGATCCGATCGCTCTTCACGATGAAGATTACGATGACCAGGACATTGACGAGTTTACTTTGACGAACGATATCAACAATCCTGAAGTTGTTAGAAGGGAAAAGAAAAAGGAACCGATTATTGAGTTTTTAAAGGACGAGACTCATTCCGAGGACGACGACGAAGAAGCAGCGAGGGCAGAGGAGGAAGCAGAAGAGTATGAAGTAGTGAAAGAAAGATTGAAGCCCATTATAAGAACTGAAGGCACGAAAGTCTACACGAGAAAATCCACGATGCAGCGAAAGATTCCAGATATTTCCAAACAAATGTCTTCAACCATGGCTTCCTTGGACGAGATCAACGAGCCCAATTTGTTGGACATTCCTTCGGGAGCTATAAACCAGTTACCGAACAAAGGAATCATGAACATGAAAATGGGCGATAAAGTGGTGCGCGTTCAAAAATACATCGTCACAAAGGACGAAATGAAAGCGATGGCCAAAAAAGGCATACTGGAAATGAAGGGCGGCAACGTTGTATTCAGGACCCCTGGCAGGCAAACTTTAAGTGCTACGCTGAAATCCATAGCGCAAGACGATTTGGAAGCCATTATTGATAGAAATCAAAGGTCCAATAAAAAAACTTACCAACGAAAAATTTCCGCTGAAGAAAACACTATGGAATCCACAATGGACAGCTTTGTTGAACATGATATTAGTTTTGGAGAACCTAGCGGTAATATTAGTTTAGACGTGGACATGTCTTAAATTGTATATTGTATCATACAATTTGTATGTAATCTTTTTTTTTTAAGACGGTGTAATGTGGTGCACAAATGGCTGTATTTTGATCGATAATTAATCCTGCTACATTTTTGCTGTGATAAGTTTTTGTGTAGCAGTAAATGGCTATATAAATGGCTGTTAAGCTACGATCAAACTAAATTTAGGAGGCAAAGCACTGTACCACTTTTCAGATGCAGTAAAAATACCAAAATTTATCGGAAATGATCGCGAGCAGCTTTATTTCAAGACTCACTGTTGTCTAAAAATAGTAGCTATGTCAGGATGCTGAAATAGTTTTTAATCAAGTAGATCCTAATTTTTTTTAAATTAATTATTTATTTATTATTAAAAAAAAGCATTTTTTATTTATTGTAATATTGGAGTTTTTTCAACTCCTGATCCAATTTGCTTTGGTATGTATTTTTTAGGTGTAATTTGGTTTTTTCCAGTTTAAACTTGACAAGTCTTTTCATGACCACTTCTAAAAACTTTCTCATGATGTCTGATGCTCTTGAGTTAACCATAATATTGTTGACCATGCTCAACCACCTGCACCATCTTGGCCTTAAAATTGTGTTAAACAACCTAACTGCTTTTGTTTACATCAGACATAAACCACAAGTCGTCAACACTTCTTTTTCCTTTGCACATCCTCGCCAGCATTTTCCATTATGTCTATTTCCACAGCTCTCACACTGTTGTTACGATTATCCATATTGTTAGTGACTTTCCTTCCTAGGGTACCTAGGGTATTCTTTGACCAATGGCGAGATTTTTTAAACTGATCCCTTTCGAATCGTTCGCTTCCGCCTCTGCCAGGTTGTTTCAGTACGATTTCGCACGAAATTGACCTGTATGATACGCGTAACCTAAAATCGGTAATTCCGTTAAATTTACATAATTTTACGTTAATTACGATAATTTAAAAAATAGAAATAAAACGATACTGCTGGAACTTAACTAATATCACATATAGTAATACCTAATGTTTTGTTCTACTATTACGGAATATAACCATTCTAATATCACTTTTTATTTCTTATCTTATTTTATCATCGGATAAACTGGTGGCGACATCTCTGTATGTTTAGACCGATTCAACCTTACTTCTCCAAATTAAATTATTTTCTTTGGTATTTTTTGACAACGTAAAAAAAGTATAGTTTGAAACACGTTTGGAATTGCATATTCCGCTCTCGTGAAACCGTCAAACTTTTCTTTGAAAACTAACTTGATCCTGGAAAATGCAAAAAAAGTCAACTTTTATAATTTCCGTCGTTATTTTTGTTTTCAAAATTCGTTTTTAATAACAAACAAGTTTTTATTATAAAAAATTTCAAATTTGTTTTTCAAAACTTTGAATCGTTCTCATGATGTAAAAACATGTTTTTTTAAAGACCTGTACGTAGTAATGTTAAATTTTCGACGATCAACAATGAGGAATGCACTTCTAAAAAATAATTATACATACATTATAGAGAAAGGTCATATTACGGAGGTTTATATATATAATATAATAATTTGATTTTTAAATAATTATTAATATGAAGTCTTTTTACATACTTATAAGTTTTATAATTTGAAAACTAAATGCTTGAAAAAAATCCCTCTTGTAAATCCGGGGACAAAATAATGGTAACAATTATAACCGCCCCGCCTAACAACGGGAATAATGAACTCGGTGATTGGCCCATTTCAATATTAACTTTGATTTAAACCATTCGGTTTTTAAATTGAATGCTGAAAAGCAACGTATGCGTCACCAACAGTGAAAGTGTCACTGTAAGAAAATATTGAAAGTTTCAGTATGATTTTCTGATTTGTTTTCGAATAAAAAATATTAAAGATGCTAAAAATACATGGGCTGTATAGAACATGCATTTAAGTAAAGATTTAATTTCATGCTGACGCTCGCAGCTCACGTGGTCATCTTACGTGACTTTAAGCGTTAAAATTAACAAAAAGCTAAAACGAATTGAATGGTGTTATGCAACAGGGAACCAATCCTCACTGTTGCAAAACTAAGATAATAGCGCCCGAAAAATTACGTGGTTCCTTCATCACTGTGGTCTTAATTATAGATTCAACGTTTTAATTTTATTTCCAAAGCGTTAATTTAGTACCTACTAAATTTTTATTTCTTAAAATATTTTTTTAACTGATAGTTATTGCCTATTGTTTTATTATAACATGGAAACCATCATTTGGAATAAGGTGATAAATAGATTTATAAATCTTTTAATTTTAGCTCTGAGATCCTCCTGATCTTCTCTTATTTTTTTTGGAAATATTGATTTTGTCATATAAAACCATTGGTTACTTTTTTTCCAACATTATTTTTTCAACTTAAACCAGATCCAAGTAACATGGATCCTTGTTGCAGTATAAATATATTGCGTTTAGTCAAAAGTAACGTTAATCAAGCCGCTTGGTGCTGGATAACCTTTCACAATTTCAATATATAAGGGAAAGTTTGCACAACCATGCAGCTTAAAGCTTTGTTGAGATTTAAAAACTTTGATTGCAGAGTTCTATATTGTTTTGAATAGTTTAATTCAGTATTTTTCCGCATGTTTTATTTCTTTAAAATATTTTCAAAATGTGGCCCTACATGGCTCCATCACGTTAATACATTTATCCTGCTTATTTATTATGAGGGATGGTTCCCAGTTGCATAACACCATTCAATTTAGCTTTATTATAACCTTTCACAATTTCAATATATAAGGGAAAGTTTGCACAACCATGCAGCTTAAAGCTTTGTTGAGATTTAAAAACTTTGATTGCAGAGTTCTATATTGTTTTGAATAGTTTAATTCAGTATTTTTCCGCATGTTTTATTTCTTTAAAATATTTTCAAAAGGTGGCCCTACATGGCTCCATCACGTTAATACATTTATCATGCTTATTTATTATGAGGGATGGTTCCCAGTTGCATAACACCATTCAATTTAGCTTTATTATAATAATATACTTGTTAATAATATACTTATTACTTATTAATTTATTTATTGATACAAAACTAATTTGATACGTGGGGGCACGCCAAATAACGTACATATTCACTGTGCTTCACACCCAAAAGTCCCACTTTAAGGTTATCTATCTGTCAGGTTAATGCTAAATTGTATTATTTAGAAATCTACGGATGCACAAAAAACTCTTGCGCACACTGTGCCTGAAAGTGTATGTATTGTGTCTGCGCACGCTATTTGGCGTAACATATTTTGCCTTGTGATCGAGAGTTACACCTCCTTTATTTAGTCTTGGTATTGTCGCTACATTTCAGCGGCTAATTTTTTAACGTTGATTACATGACGGATCCTGAGGCTAGAAAACTAGATTCCAGCGTAAAATGGGAACTTTAAGAATGTTGCCAAAACTTCCTAACTGGTGATGGAAAGCTGCAATGACACTGATGTGGCATTGTCTGAATCCTTAAGCCTGATTTTTAGATTGTCTTCCTTCCTCCCGTAAAAGATTAACAATACGAAAACCGTAGTTCCGTCTATAGATTCCCGTACGGAAGGAAGGCAATCTATAAATAAGGCTTTACACCATTACCCTTGCACTACATTAACCCGTTCTACTTTTATTATTACAAAATCTTATTTTTTATAGAATTCATAGAATTATTTATAATTAAATTGGTTTAATTTATTGTGTATTATAAGTAATCTTTATTGTATATAGATCTCAATATTTAGCTTATATAATTATAATTGTATCTAAGAAAATAGATTTTTTTTGAAATTTAATCGGCATTTTATTAAAATTTTTAGAAAATTCCTATATATTCCTATATATCACCCTATAGGGTGACTTATAAGTCACCCTATAGGGTGATATATATATAAAACTACATAAATAAATAAAAATAATTTTATTTTCTTTCTAAAAGTAATATAAAATATGTAAAATTAGTGCTTACATGCAATACATTAATGGCATAATAAATAAAATGCTAATTACATTAACATAGGTACTTGAAAAATGAAAAAAATGTGCTTGTGATTTTTAGCATTATTTAGGTTAGGGCATGTTTTCGTCCATTTTGGCATCCAATCTTCTAAGCTGAAAAGATAAGAAAATTATAAATTTCTTAAACCTAATTTTTAACAATTAGATTTAATTTGACTACTTACTTTGCATCCATTTTTCTTAAGCACTTGTTTGCTTGTAATTAATTAATTACAATTACTATTGTCTAAGTAAGTTAATAATTTTTATTTACCTCTTTTTCGTCAGTTACGACGGTTGTGTATCTTTCGATGATTTTCAATGGTCCCAGGCTGGGCGCTGCAAAAGCGTGTTTGTACAAGAGTGCAGCCGAAATTCCTCCCAAAATTGGGCCCACCCAGTAAATCTACAAAAAAACGAATATTATACAGCGTAACTAATGCAATTACAAAAAAAAATAATATATTTTTTCTACGACCACTATGTAAAAGTCACATTTCGTAATGGCATCGTTGCTTAGAAAATAAATCTTTTCTTTGGCAAGGCAAAACTTGAATGTAAAGTGACATTTCTGTGTGAAAAAAAATTAGGTAATTATTTTGTTTTGTATTTAAAAATAATAAAAAATAAAAGGTTCGTGGAAAAAACATTGTATTTCACTTGTAAGAAAAGCTTTCTTCAAGCTCGTCTTAATTCAGCAACTTAAACACTCGTATGAAAAAGTCACTTTTTAACGATTGTAAAAAAAAATTAGGTAGGTAATTATTTTGTTTTGTATTTAAAAATAATAAAAAATGAAAGAGTCGTGGAAAAAACATTGTATTTCACTTGTAAGAAAACCTTTCTTCAAGCTCGTCTTAATTCAGCAACTCGTATGAAAAAGTCACTTTTTAACGATTGTAAAACAAATAACTATTATCTACTCCTACATTGACGAGCTGTGACTGTATGTCGATTTAGTCACGGGCTGAAGTTGGCTTTTGGACATTTTAGTCACGGGCTGAAGTAAGCTTTATTATAAATTGGGGAAAAGTAAGGTTAAATCCCTTGATATTTGACAGATGTCAAATGATTAACAAATGGCTTTAAATTCTTCTTTGTGTTCGTCGTAGATAAAGTATAGTCAGAGATATATCTCTGAGTATAGTATGCAACTGGTTTTATAAACTTCTCTAGACACTCGTTTTTATTAAACACGCGCTTGCAAGCTTCGCTCGTGCCTAATAAAACTAAAATGGAATTTACAAAACTTGATACATAATATACTATTATGGTTTGTTTATTTTATTATCAAAACTATTATTTAATTGATATAAAAAGAAGTTTTTAGATTTCTTCCTATTAAATCAAAATATGATAAAATCATTTCATCATTAAATAATCCAAAAACGAACGGGGCGAGAACATTATATTATTATTGTATTAATTAATAGTATATTATGTACCAAGTTTTGTAAACGGCATTTTAGTTAAAAATTTTATTAGGCATGAGCGAGCGAGTGTAATAAAAACGAGTGTCTAGAGAATTTTATAAAACGAGTTTCATTCTATACTTTATCTACGACGAACACAAAGAAGAATTTAAAGACATTTTTATTTGTTACTCATTTGATATCTGTCAACTTAAAACGGATTTAACCCCACTTTTCCCTAATTTATAATAAAGCTAACCTCAGCCCGTGACTAAAATGCCCAAAAGCCACTATTGCTAACTTTAGCCCATGGCTAAAACGCTATAAAGTCACAGCTCGTCAATGTAGGAGTAGATCAATACTATTAACTATAAGTTTCTGAAAATGATCATTTCTCCTAGTTCATCTAATAATCTTCACATGGTTTTTAATTTTATTAATGTTAACGTAAGTTCCAGGATTTGTAAGGTTTTTTCTATTTACCCAGTGATCAGTCCACACGTTGGCAATGACTCCTGCTCCAAAGCTGCGAGCAGGATTCATGCTGGAGCCGGTCAATTGGACACCAACCAAGTGGCCAACTGCTACGGCCAATCCGATGGCTAAACCGGCAGCTGCTTTAGCTTCGGGCCTGTTGGGGTCGCAAACACCGCAAACGGTGAGCACCAAAATGAATCCTAAGAAGAATTCTACACCCAAACCTTGGATTGGAGTAAGCTTCAAGGTGCTGGAAACCATTGTGACTCCGATACCTGATTCTTGAAGTTCCTCGGGAATTAAGGCCTAGAAATATTAAAGATAATAATATTCGTTGTTAAACTAATAATATGTATCTACCTTTAGAATTCCTGAGCCGGCAAGTGCTCCGAGGCATTGCACGATAATATACAATATTCCCTTGATTATTTTAATATTTCCTGTTGCTAGCATTCCACACGTCACAGCTGGGTTAATATGGGCTCCACTAACATGTCCAAGGGACTGAAATTAAAAAATGATTTTACGTTTTAACACGAATTGTGAAATCACTGGCCTAAAAAGTTAATTGACAGTGGGCGGAAACGTTAGAAATAATTTATATAAACTTGTTTTTTGGTGGTCTTATTTTATTTTTTAAATAAATATTTATAGGCATTAATTGTATATTGTAAATTTAAGTTATGTAGGTATTGTAAAATTTGCATTTAATTTATGAAAAAAGTTAGGTAAAGGTAATCTAACTACGTGTAAACGCAAAAATAACAAACATACATTACCTATCTTTAAAATATTTTCATATGACCGTGAAAAATGACATTTAATATACAATAATTTTATTTTATTAATATTTTAAAATATAAGATTTTACAACATGGCCAAAGTAAAAAATCTGCCAACAAAAATTTGAGAAAAACAAATATGAGGACTTTTGTAAATTAAAACAAAATTCTCAAAACATCTCATGTCATGTCATGATTATTTTTCTTTGTTTATTTTTATACAGGGTGTGTTAAATTTACGCTTTTTTTACAGCGTGTAGAAATCAAATATTTTAGGTAACAGACGCGTCGTGTCAAAAGTGACAAAAAATGGCGGTTTTCCACCATACACATAAGTTTTTTTCGTTTTTACACGACGTTCCGAATCGTGGCATTTTAAATTTGTCATTTTTGTTTTTATGTTTGATATGCACGAGTTTTATAAGAAATTGTTGGCAACGCTAGCCAGGATTAAATTTTAAAGGCTCCCTTATTTATGAGTTTTGACAAAAAGTTACTTGAAATATTTCAAGTAACTTTTTGTCAAAACTCAAAAATAAGGGAGCCTTTAAGTTTAATCCTATAATATAATATCCTTATAATTTCTAGACTCTGTTAAAAAACGCGTCAACTTAAAACTCATCCTGTACGAAAGATAATGCAGGCTATTATAATGCGCATTATCTTAAGTGTAAAACTATTCTTTTTCTACTCCAATTAAAGTGAGGTTGGGATTGTCAGACTTTTTAATAAATACGTATATATAAAAAACCGACATCTGTTAGAAAGTTCCGACTTTACTTTTTCCCAATTTAAAACCCGATTGGTTCAAATCACAATGAATATTAAAATCGGCCAATCACTGATGGCTAACGAATGAGTTCATTATTTCCGTTGCTATAATGGTATACGGAAAATAGTGTCAATATTATCCAATAGGAGTAGAAAATAGTACATTATAGACCAGACGAAGACGAGGCGCTAGCCGAGATTGTGTGCATTTAATTAGAATATTTCTATAAGAATTTTCTTTAGTTTAGGTTCAACTGAAATGACGACATTTAATCTTAGTTTTTGTACTAAGGTTTATAATAATTTGACTAGTTTTAATTAGAATTCTTTTATGCACCATATATCCTTCTATGTATGGGTATCTTTTTTTTATTTGAAGAGCTACAAGGTCGGTTAAATTTGACAACAAATTATTTAAAAATTGGAAAAAAATTCAGCGGTTCTCAAATAATTAAAAAAACTGAACACATGTCAAAACCAAAAATCGTTATAGCTTCGTTATTCATGGGAATTTTGAAAAAAGTTTTACCACCACCATCTTTTGTTTTTCTAAGGCCGCCATATTGTAATTTTACATGGTTAGATAGAAAAAAAACAAGGAATCAAACGATATATCAAACTACATATTTTATGGCGGCTAGCTATTATAGAAACAAAAGATGGTGATGGTAATTCAAAACATTACTTTGTTTCAAAATTCCCAGGAAAAACAGATTCATAACGATTTTTGGAATTGAAGGGTTTTTAATTTTTTTTACAAATATTTTGATAACCGCTGGTCCAAAAATGAAAAACTAACCGATTGGTCTAAATTATTTTTACAGCCTAGGCGAAAATCAGTTATGTTCTTTATAGTGTTGACAATTATAAAGTTTAAATTATAAAACGCTTGAAGGTCAAAACTATTTTATTACACAAAATGTATATAAAATTTTGTGTTAATAATTATTAACCTCTAATATTTTAGACACAACAATAATTATATAATTATTGTATAATTATACCCAACATGTAGGTTCAAAGATTTAAAACAATATAGTGAGAGCCGGCAATATTAACGGGCATGTGATCGTTTCTAGAGACCATTTTCACATTAAACCAGACTTGATAGTTGCCTCAAAACCAAATGAATAGGCGGCCTTTATTTCTATTGCCGAAAAATTGTTTTTTAAAATAGAGTTTTTATTAATTGGATACCGTCAACCGGGGCTAAATGGATCAAAAATATCCTTTTATTCAAATTAGTTCCAAAACTATTCGAAATTTTTGCCTGAAACTTGGAATGTACATTTCTTGGTTACTCAGCTATGCATTGACCATTTGCCCACATTGTAACTCTTTCAATGACCTATTTTTTATATATATATATCGATGAGTTTCTGCCAAAGTATCGCAAGCAACATAACCCAAATTTCGGGAATTGAAAACATTTTTTGTTTGAAAGTCTGTTTTAAACCATTATTAACCTATATGTTTTATAACAAGTAAATAGCTATAATTATAAGCTAAGTAATTACTTGTTATAAAACCTTTAGGCCATATTTAATTTAAAACAGAAAAGCAAAATGTTTTCAATTTCCGAATTTTGGTTTATGTTGCTTGCGATACTTTGGCAAAAAGTTATCGATATAGTGATCCACTTTACGCATAGTTTGGGGTAAAGTGGATAATCCATTAAAAATCACACAAATTTCACTTTAAACATATGCTGGGTAAAGTGGATCACAATTAAATAATAATTTTAAAAAAATTGTAGGGAAAAAGCAGTGTAAATCATTAAAATCAATGAAAAACTTCAAAAATAAGGGAAAAACAATATAAATAGTTCAAATCACTGAGAAACTTCAAAAATAGGTCTTTTATTCTCACAGTCTCAGTCTATATTCTAAATAAAGTCAAAATACATGTCTTTATCAAAAAAAAAAAATTAAATTCTATTGGTATACTTTTATATTCATAGGTACCTATAGAATTTTTTTGACGATCTCGAGATCCACTTTGCCCCAAGAGGTGACATCAGTGGATTAAAAAAATCCCACACGGACTCCCCTTTAAGACACAAAGGTCTTGACTGTTTATTATTTTAAGTCAAAAGTTAGGTTATTGATATGCAATTGTCAAATACACATAAATATTAACATATCGCCTGTGCAAATAAACGAATTTTGACATTTCTATAAATGTACATTTCTGAATTTTAGAACATATATTGTTTTAAGCAAACTTATTTTTGTTTATGAAAATTAACGCATATAAGCCCAACCACCATTGTGTATTAGACTGACTTGCGCCGGCAAAATTCGCAATCACGTTACAGCCGACTGCGCATTTTAATATTACGTCAGGAAGTTGTCATCCACTTTACCCCAGCAGATCCACTTAGCCCCGTTTGACGGTATTTAATTTATCATTCCTACGGCTGAAAATGACGTTCTATATTTTTATGGCTAAACATTTGTAGATATATTCTTTATTACATCACATTATTTAATACGTCAATGAGTTTTTTAATTGTTAAAACAAATAATATATTGAAAAATACAACAATTACAGCTTCTTCACGTTTTAATTCTTTTGCATGACGTTTTTTATTCCCATGGCTAAAAAGTTGTAGATAGGTACCTTTTTTAATACGTCAATTTAAATAATATATAGGGCGGCCTCGATTTTTATTGCCAGTAATATACACAATCATCTAAAGTACTCGACAAGTGTTAAAGAATGTATTTACTTTTTAGCCATATGAATAAAAAACGTCAGGCAAAAGAATTAAAACGTGAAGAACCTGTAATTGTTGTATTTTTCAATATATTATTTTTTTAAACGAAATAAATTTTTCGTAAATCGTTCAAATCGCGCTAAAATTGGCTGTCGATCTAAGATGAGGGTGGCCATTATTCCTGGCAATAAAAATCGAGGCCACCCTTAGACCTTATAATATTATGGTCAAAGAGGCCACCCTATATATTCTTTAAAGTGACGTATTAAACAATATAAAATACAGGTTGTCCGGAAATTAATGCAACAAAATTTGGTCACAGATTCTCAAAACAAATTTAGGGGACAAGTATTTTTTAGTTTGCCAATTGGCCCCATAAGAATAGTCTTTTATATATAACGAGAATCACTAAATTTGGTATACAGGGGTTTTTTGATATGTGGAATCTGAGTGTTAAGGTTTTTGGCTGGGGACCTCCTTGAGACGCTTTTTCGTAGGCCCCCTTGTCTTTGGAGCCAGAAAACTTTGGTTACGTCTTTTTTTAATATAACCCTTAATTCAATTTAGAAACTTTTGCCTTTTGAAATTTTTTTGTAAAACGTAATGTTTTCGAGAAATATGACAAAATGTGATCGAATGCATATCGACATTCATATGAAATTCTAACGTGTTAATCGTAGGTGGCTGGCGTTCGAAAGTGACAAACAAATAAATTTTTTGTCAGCCAAATCAGGTGCATTTGGACTTTTTCTTGCACAGAAAATCTTACCATTTTTTTTTCGAGAGAAACAGAAAAGATGATAATCTGACAACCGATCAATGATAATTATCATTGACAGTTAACTGTCAAAAAATTAATTTGTTTATCACTAAGTGATAAGTGACAAGTCTTGAGAACGCCAGCCATCTACGATTAACACGTAAGAATTTGATACAAATGTCGATATGCATTCGATCACATTTTGCCATTTTTCTCGAAAACATTACGTTTAAAAAAAATTCAAAAGAAAAAAGTTTCTAAATTAACTTCCTTACGGGTTAATTAAAAAAAATACGCAACCAAAGTTTTGTGGCTCCAAAGACAAGGGAGCCTACAAAAAAGCGCCTCAAAGGGGTCCCCAGCCAAAAACCTTAAAGCCCGCTGCACAATAGCCCGGTAACGGGAACGGGAATCTTAACATTAAAGGTGGAAGAGACTAAAAAACCACTGTTGATAGATAGGGTTCGCTGAGTTACCGTTTAGGTTCCCGTTCCCGTTACCGGGCTGTTGTGTTACCGGGCTGTTGTGTTACCAGGCTGTTGTGCAGCGGGCTTAACACTATCAGATTCCACATATATGTGGATATATCAAAAAACCCCTGTAAACCAAATTTAGTGATTCTCATACAACAAGTTCTGAGGACACCCTGTATATTATCTACAATTGTTTAGTCATAGAAATAATTTATTAAATATAAAAAATAGGGGTAATTTACGTCTGGCCACCGAATATTCTTTTGTAACGCTTGTAACGCTTTCTAAAATATTAATAAAAACATTTTTTTTATAAAACAACTTTTTGGCGATGGAAATAAAGGCATCTATTCATTTGGTTTTAAGGCAACTAAACTTTCGATTAATGTAAAAATGGTCTCATGCCTGTTAATATTGCCGACTCTTGGAATAATAAATATAATTACTAAAAACCTTGATAGGTAATACTTCTTCATAAAACTAATTCATAATAATATTATGTAATTATTGAATATAGACGTGACAGAGGTAGTGGATAATCCTACAATATGAATCATTATAAAATTATAATATTTAGCTCGAACTGAAAATATCATGTTTAATGGCATAGCGTCGCACCTAGCATCAGGTTAATGCACATTCCGCATTTGCTAATTAAATTTCTTGCCTATATTGAGCAAATATCGACTTAATAAATAATTTAGAATCAAGTAAATGAGGTTTTGGTTTCGATTTTGCTTAATATTTATTACTTTAGTCTAAATAACTCACCTGAACAACTACGAAAATGGTAAGACCAAATGTAAGGGATATCAGTACTGTTCCTGCTACGTCGCCTTTGTAGTTAACGACTGCACCACATCCGAATAAATTTAAAAGTACGTTTCCAATAAATTCTGCTAGCAGGGCCTTCCATATGTTGTTGTTTTTGGCTTTTAGCTCGCTTACTCCCAGTGTTTCTTTAAAGTTACCCATTTTGTTTTATCTAAAAAGAAGAAAGTATTATGTTAGTATTTATTATTAAGTATCAGATCGTTTTAAGTTTAAATTGTTTTTTTTTCTGCAGGATTTTAACTGTTTCTAGAGTGTAGACTAAGCTGGATTTATAGTTGGACTTAGACGTAACGTAGACGAAACATAGACGCACTGCTAAAATATAGAAGATAGAATTTATGTACTATTATTTATAAATGAACGTAAACGCAGACTTAACGGAAACAAAACGGAAGAGTTGGTCAACTTTGGCTTATCTTTTCCGTTCCGTTTCTTGCGTCAGACCAATCAATAGAGATAATTATGTATGTGTGCACAGCGGGTTGTCTTACTATGCTGTCACTTGTTCGACATTATTCTAAAAATTTTGGCAAATAGAAAGAATATTACAAAGAACTCATCTTATAAGACGTTTCCTCGCACTCGTCCATTACAATTATCTACAGAACATATTCTCGTGCGAAAAAAATTATCCTCGTGCGAAAAAAATTATCCTCATGCGAAAAAATTACGTATAATTTGTATGTTATCCAGCGCACAACTACGTATGCCCAAAATTCCGTTTCCCCGATTCATAAATTGAATACTTTTTTACAGTCCGTTTTTTACGTATCCAGTGCGTCTACGTCCAACTATAAATCTAGTTTTAAACTGGATTTATAGTTGGACGTAACAATGAAAAAAGTGGCATTTTGAAATTTTGCTTCCTAGATATTATATTTAAGTTATTAACAGTTAAATATTTTTGACATTTGCTTACAAAAGAATCTTATTTTAATAATAATTTATATAAACATTCCATAAATTTAAAAGTAGTGTAATTAAAACTGCAACAATTCAGTGTCCCAAAAGTCGCACACCACCGTTGTAGGGTATGATCTACAGACCCCCAGAAATCCTAGAAAATTATTAAAAACAATAATTATTTAAAAACATAAGAGCGGAAAGATTTAGTTTTTAAACTAAAAAATACTGGGGTTTTCCTCCTTATATTTTTTCATGTCTTATTGCATAATTGTCCCAATGTACGATGCTCTACACTTTTTCTGTCAGTTTAACGCTAATTTCGTTTTATTTTCTGAAAATATTACATTAAATATTTTTTGTGTTTTAAATTAAAAAAAAAATACATCAGGGGCTTCTATCAAACACAGCAAACTACAATATTTTGTATTGGCAAGTACAATCACATTTATCAAAATTTTCGTGAAAATACGAGTCCAGTGGAAACGATTAAATAAAAGTATCATACCCAATTTGATATATCCATAATATTTTAGGTAATTTTTTTTCAAGGAATGCTTAAATAACGTATTTGTATTATATACAAGGTGTCCCTAAACTTAGTAGCATAAATTTAGGAGCAGATTAAGCAAGACAAAATAAGACGAAAATCTAAATAAATATTTTTCATAATTACGTATGTTTAAAAGATACAGGGTGATAAAGTGTTACTTATCATATCAGTTTTTTTAATATAACTTCTACTGTGGTAGAGTTGGAAAGGTAATATTTTGCGAACAGTCACTTACTACCAAAACACATTCACACATAATTACAATTGTTCGAGTTAACACAGTGTCGTAGAAACAGGGGTTCCTTAAGCTTAATGTCCCATTCAAACTTTGAGGTTAGGTTTTTATACAAGTTGATGAAATTTTTCGATTACTCAGTTCGGCTACTATTAAAAAGGTGTACCTCTCAAACTTCAATAAAATAAACCGTTTCAGAGATATTCGAAATTACAACAATTGTTATATCGCATTAAAGGACTAAAAGGTATATGATAAAAAAATTTTTAATTGAAAAAAACTACCTTTTTTTTAATGTCACGGTCAGGGCAAAAAGTCCCGAGGCTCATGGAATGCCCTTTTTAGTTTTTTCAATTAAAAAATAGAATTTGTTATCATATACCTTTTAATCCTTTTAAATAATGCGATATAACAATTATTGTAATCTCGTATAGGTATCTCGGAAACATTTTATTTTTAATGGTGGCCGAATTGTGTAATCTAAAAATTGCAACAAATGTTATAAAAACCTTACCTCAAAGTTTGTATGGGACAATAAGCTTAAAGCAACCCCCGTTTCTACAACACTGTGTTCACTCAAACAATTATAATTATGTGTGAATATGTGTTTTGGTAGTAAGTAACTGTTCGCAAAATATCACCTTTTCAAGACTACCATAGTAGAGGTTATATTAAAAAAACTGATATGTAACTGATAAGTAACACTTTATCACCCTGTATCTTGGAAACCTAAGTAATTAGGAAAATATTTATTTGGGATTTGGTCTTATTTTGACTTGCTTAATCTGCTCCTAAATTTATGCCACTAAGTTTAGGGACACCTTGTATATCAAAATAAAATGGTAAAATTTTTTAAACAATTTTTTGTGATTCCTGGGGGTCTGTATATCATATTCAAGGTGGTGCTCGACTTCTGGGACACCCTGTATAGTTTAGCCATGTGGCAGATGGGACGCAGTTAAGAAGGAATAATCAAGTTTCCTTTTGTAAAAATAATCGTTTGAATGGCGATGATGGTTATGTGTGGGCAAACGCAACATTCCTTTTAACAAATTCAAGAAATTCAAAATGACTCGTTTGATTTTATTCATCTGGAACTAAAATGATGACTTGAGTTACACGCAAAAAGCGCCTAAGGTGCAGATTTGCATCAAGTTTTCTTCATACTTTTTCATTGGTTTTTCTATCGTGATTTTATTTTGTTCGAAGAAGTTATTAAAACACCAATCAATAAGAATATCAATTTCACGCTAAGCAGACATGTGGTTTTGTATGCCCTGATTTAATTGATTTTTTTTTTATTTAAATTGAATTGATTTATTATTTGATATTGTTTTTTAAAATCTTAAATTAAAATATTTGTTTTGGAAATCGCTTCAAAAACTGTTTATTCGCCTTTGAAATGATTTTTTATAATAGATAAAAATATTTGAAATAATTAGGTTTATTTTAAATTATTATTTTGAGTTAATTTCACTTATTTTGTAATTAAATTTCACAGATTTTGGATAGGTATTCTTAAAAAAAACTTTTTTTAAACCATTCTGGTCGTAACTGCATCTAAAAACTGTTGGTTGAAACTATGGTGCAGCCTGTGGAACGAACAAAAGTGTTTGTTGTAGCGGTTTGTGGTAAATTAACTATTGTGCTGTCTGAAACAAATTTGGTTGTGTTGGAACTTTTTAAAATAATAACTACCTACGATTTTTATCATGATAATGCATCTGATCTTTGTTGCGGCAATTATTATAAAAAAAAATAATAAGGCTAAAATATTATAATTATAGTAAGAAGGAAATAAGGTAAGTAGTAATATCAGAATTAATTTAATTTGTCTAAATTAATAAATGCATTGATTATGCATTAATAAAAGAGAAAATTTTATGGATTTGAAATGTTTTGAAGTTTTCTCTTTTATTGAAAAAATGGTTGTTATAAACCACAAATGAAATAGACATATGCATTCACATAATGACCCAATAACCAAATGAGCTACTTAGAAAATTGGCAAGCAGAGAAAAATAAAAATGTTTAAAATTGTACAATCAACATTAAGTAATTTGTTTATTTATTTCTGTGCTGTGCTTAAACAGGGTAGGTAAGTGTGAATACAAATTTAAGTTTATCTGGGTATTAATACCTTTAAGGTTAATTTCTAATTAAACACAAGGATTCTGGACATTCATGGTTGGGTTAATGAGATGCGTAATTACGTAAACAATTCGCTTGTTTAACAAACAGAAAGGTAACTAGGTAATTGTTATTTAGGATATACTTAAGTACTTTTAAGAAAGGTATTTTTTTGTTTTTGACATATTTAATTATGTTCGTTCGACATATTTAATTATGTTCGTAGATATTTTTAATTGAGTTAAATAACGTCAAATGTGTGAATAAGTTTTTATTGATATTTGGGAAAGTAACGATAATTTCAAAACACTGTGCAATGCGGAATTTCGAAAAATTATCAAAACACTTTGGTTAGTTTTTTCGAAGAATTGTTAAAACATTTAAAGCATAAGAACTCCACATCATTTTTAAATAAATTTTTTTACAAAAGAAAATTTTTGTTTTAATTGCACAGCTAAATCGCGCACGTTATTTGTGTTCCGCGTTGCAAGTAAAAACTAAAAAAAAATGGTTTTACTCGATTTCGATTTATTATTCCTTATACATGTATAAGGAATAATAAATCTCAATCAACGCTTTTAATACTGCATAACGCTTTGAATTAGACGACTTATTTTTTGTTTAATTCTTATCAAATTGAAATGTTTACAATTTTTACGTCAATCATTACTAAAATGTGTATTTATTGTATCTAATAAGTAAAATTTATATTTGCAGGAACTGTATGCAATTTTTTCATTCGGCATTCGTCTGCAGATAAAAAATAAAAATAATCTCTAACTATAATATTCGGAAAATGCCGATTTTTGCCAAAATCACTGAAACTTTAATCCCATTTATTGGAAATTTTGTATCCTTGGAAAATAAAGACTCCGGAAAAGTTGTGGAAGTGTGACCAACCCCCCTACACCCTCCCTCGCTTCGCCCCTTATACCTTTCCAAAGGTGTTTCCAGGGTTAATAATTAATTATTCAAATCCAATCTTATAATGGCTCATGTCAAGTTTTTGAACCCGTAAGTGAAAAAAACATTCTACATCACGAAATATTTTCTGACAGAACTCGTTATGCCATATAAATGTACTACTCTTTTACTTCAATATTATTTTTAAATTGTCCCAGTATAATTTCTCCCCTCCAGAAAATCGTAATTAGTTTAAATTTATTATAGAAACAATAAATCAAAATTTTATATAATCCCAACTCATAAACTTCAACTAAGATTCCTCGAAGAGTATAAAAAATAGGTTCCAAATAAAAAAAAATCTATTAAAATTGGACTGCCCAAGTTCAATAAACCTATTATACAGCTCCACTTTTTCAGTTTCGTGT